TGGAGCACATGATTTATGAGGAGAGGCTGAGGGAGCTGGTCTTGTTTGGTTTAGAGAAGAGAAGACTGAAGGGGGGGAATTTACTAGCAGCCTTCAAACTACCTGAAGGAGGGTTTGAAATAGGATAGAGCTAAACTGTTTACAGTGGTGGCAGATGACAGAACAAGGAGCAATGGTCTCAAGTTGCAGAAAGGGAAGTTTAGGTTAGATACTATAGTATAAGGCAACTGAAGTAGATAGATATTTGTAATGGTTAATATATAATTTACTCAAACTCTTCAGTTTTTGGTGTTTTTGATCAACTAAATCTCCAACTGTTTTGTAAGTTTTCTTTTAAATTTCAAATTACAGGTTCCCGACTAGCTCTGGCAAGACTACTCTCAGGTGAGTGTCTCATGTAGACAGATTACCTTACATTATCTAATAACATTGACCCAGTAAAACCACTTTTTTTTGGACCTCTTAAGGTTTTAATATTGGGTCCCTTGTTCCCTATTAAGGTGCTACATAAATTGTTCACCTCTGCTTCTGTTAGTCCTTTAAATTAATATTCCAAATTAATTTCTTCTCATTTCTGATCCATTCCACGCCTTTCTTTACTGGCCATCTTGCAGCTATTGATAAGTTGTTAAACATCCCAGAAAATGTTCACCAGCCCAGCTGCTAAATGTTGCTATTGCCTGGAGCTGTGGTTCTCAAACTTCTGGGTTCATTACCCCTGTTTCAGCTTGTTCTTTTGTTGTTTTGTTCTGGAAAATTCAGAAAGCAGCACTTTACATTACTACAACCACATACTCATCTCTCCCACAACCCAAGGGATATTGTAGAGTTATGCTTCATGTTTTCCTTCTTCCTATACCTGCTTCTATATTTCTCTTTCCAATTCTTCCTCTAATACACTATCTGAAAGATTGCTTTGTATACCCATTTGATGCACCCTGGGTCTAGAGGGCAAGCACTTAGTTAAAAATATGCTGATGAAATCAAGCTGTCATGATGCTAGGTAGGGAAGACGTGGTTTTGTACGGAGTATGTGAAACCCGGTCAGGACCCTTGTGTTTCTGTTCTCAGCTGTTGCTGATGTTAGGCAGTCTATTTAGTCTTTCTCTGCCCTTGTTAATGTGCTTGAAAAAAAGGACATAATACTTTGAGGGCTTAAAGTTTTTAAAAAGCACTTTGAGAACTTAGTGAAGAGACTGTAAGGACAAGAAAGCACAAAAAACCATAGAGATGTGTGTTTCCAAGGCAATTTCCACATTCTCAAAATGAAGGAAAACCAAACAGTCTTGAACCTTTTGACATGTTTAGTAAATTCAGACAATGAGGTCTGTAAAGCTCTGGGCTATTTCCAGCATTTTTTTGTCTTTTGGTGGACAAGTGCCAAGCTGAAGTCCATCCAGATCAACTTAAACGACCTACTAAACTTCACATTAATAGATGGGAAAGACTGTACTTGACATTTACAAGAACAAGGAGCCTAGCTCGTGAGTCCTGAATCATCAGTATAATGATTCTCAGGTTACATAATTGTCTCATATGAAACTTTTACATTTGAAAACCTAACCTGAAAAAGCAGCAGTAACACTCCCCAAAGCAAATAAAGCAGGAGCCTGTATAAAAGCATGCATCTCTCCCTTATTTATCCTAATACTGTCTTCTTTCAGAAGTCTGTGGATTACACCAGTGAAGGAAGACTGGTCCCAAAGTGAGGAGAAAGGTTGACTCCTTTGGACAAAAGTCCATCTCATTTATGTGTTGGCAGGGTGTCAGCGTCTGTTGCATGTGGCTTTGTGGAAGTTAGGGGATGTCTGAGCAAGTGTGGAAATGGGGATTCCCTCTGAGTGTGCCCAAATCATTCTCCGCTACCAGCGAAGTTGAGCTTCCAAGTTACCTCACTGTGTCAAGGCTGTTGTTGACTCTGATCAGAAGTGTGCACTTCTGATGCAGCATGTTTGGTTAACAGCAGAGTCTTTTTTTATTTATCAGTGGTTTATAGTAGTGGCAGACTAATTTGCTTAGTTGTGCAAGTTGTTTAAAGAAGCTTTGCACTTTCATTAAGCAGTCTAATTGGGAGGAAGAGTGTGTTGTGCAGTAGTATGCAAGGTGTTTCCTAGCAATATCATAACTGCAGCTTTGGTAACATGCATTTCTCTTGTCATTTCTCAGATGCTTGGTATTTATAGTGTTTAGGTCTTTAGATTCTCTTCTCAAGACGATTTTTTTTTTTGGCATAGGAGGTTGGGGAGAACAGAACCAGTTGAAATATGTACTGTTTCTTTTCTCCCTCTTGAGTCTCTAGGCAATGATTTACGAGAGGGGTGAATAAATAGAATTTGGCCCTGGGTTATAAGTTTCATGATGCTTTCAGCTTTTTGTTTTGGAGAACTAGAAAACCTGCATTGGCCAGGAAGCAGCTTGTTTTGTAGTTAAAGGGTCTTGAAAGCTTTAACTACAGCAATCCCCCACTCATACTTCTGTCCCCTTGTAGTGCTGTTTCCTTCCTCCCTGTGTAAAAATGAATGCTGTTAGGGTAATGTTGGAGTGAGGTGGTAGCTGTGGTATCACCCACAAAAATCCTGGCCTCTCGCATACGGTTAGGAATATATTTCATTTACTTGAAGGACATGCACTGAATATGTTTGACTTCCTTGTGCTTTACTGTAACCTGGAGGAGGGGAAACAGGAATCTAAGAAAATTTGACACTTTACTTCTTGACAAAAAATGTAGACATTTAGGAAATAGCTGAAATTCCCTGGAAACCCACTGAATGAAGCCATAGCTGTTTTGCAGAAAGGTGTGAAGGATATGTGGTTTTTCTCTCTTCCCCCTCAAACCTCCATTATATCCTAATATAGTTGAATGGGTGCACTTTGTATACGCTGTGCTTAATTATCTTGTCCATAAGCAGTTGCACTTGCCTTTGCTAATGTTAAATATTCTTCAAGGTAGCAGGAGAGTTTAGTTCTATTTCTGACAGTTCACTGCCCTGGCCTCTGCAGCAAGGGGCTGAAGTTCCCTGCGGCAGTCTGGCTTCTGTGACCTTCTAGTAGGCTGTCATTCACACATGGCTCCTGATTTTGCTTCTAGAGATTAGCCTGTCCATGTTGCATGGTGGCTTTGCTTTAGAAGCTGTCCCCAGAGCAAGTATTCAGTTCCTTATTGCTCTGCTAGACTTGTATTAAAAAAACAAATGAACAGACTTTGAGTCTGTGGAGCTGATTTTTAAATCTTTGGTGTTTTTGACTGTAGGCTGGTGGCTAGCGGTTTCACAGATTTCACAGATATCAGGGCTGGAAGGGACCTCGGAAGATTGAGTCCAGCCCCTTG